CACTCAGACTAGCCATCTCGTATTACTATGCAAATGGCCTCCAGCAGTGAGTGTAAACATTTCAGCACTCTTGTAGGATGTTGGTGTTGAGATGCAAGACACATCCAGGCTTGAATTGTCAGATCTTTGCTGTGAGAGCTAATACTGCAGGAACTACACTTTACAAATCTTAATTTAAAATGGGTTTCTTCAAAGAATAGCCCCACAATGTGGTGTTACAGCTACCAAAAAGCAACAACACAAAACGCCTATTGATTTTTTCATTATCATCCCTGTTTATCCAAGAACTGCATTTTGGCTTACTGCTTGCCGCACATAGCCAAGATAATTGGACAGAAGTAGCTAATTTGGGCGTTAGAACCCAAGTTAAAGAGTATGGTTGTCCTTCTGAACCACTACATGTGTAATTTGTACTGGGGCTGCTTGTGACAGATGGAGCATCCTTTTTGAAGTGTTGTTCTGTGATAGAGAGCAGGAACAGTTGCCGTGGAGTTATTACAAAACATATAGGTCACTTTATTACATTTACGGCTCAAAAGGAGCGTTTGAAAATGGCTTTGGTACCACTCTGATTCAAGCTGTTCCATGGCTAATTAGCAAAGGTTTCCAATCCGGATAAATGTCTGCTGCATCTGCAGACCACCTTTCCCCAAAATTAGCTCTAGAAATATATTAAAGGTGCTCGTTCATTGATCTGAGCCTTCTGCTAAATGTGACCTAATGCTGCTGGATTATTTGGTTCACCTGAGCACATGAAATACTTGAAATCTAGCACTGCTGCTTTTCTTGAAAGATGGAAGTATAGAGATTATAGCTGTCAGAACAAAGCACCAGGGAATATGAAATATTACTTATGAAGGCCTGGTAGCAGCTGTTTGGGCTTGTGATGGCAGTAAGTAATAGTGGAAATGTAAGGTCAGATGCATAGAAATGAGAAGCTTAATGCTACGCTCTTTGCAACAGTGTTCCCTGTGCCCGCCTACATCTGTCTATCCCAGTTCTTCATATCCTGCCTTTCAGGATACAGATCCTCCCAAGGCAGTGTACAAGAAACAGTGCAGTATTACTGAAAGAACTAACAAGGTGTCCACTAGTTGTTATGGACTAGAGCTCCCATCACACCCAGCCATCCCAGCAAATAGTTAAGGATGATGGGAATTGTTGTCATCAGTATGTGGAGGATACCAAGCTGGCTGTTGCTAATCTACCTCAAATGAGGTGAAGCGCTCAAGGATAACTAATTCATTGCCAGCAATCCTGCACCCATTTACCTGAGTTTAAGCCCCACTGAACTCAGTAGGACTTGCTTCTGAATACATATAGACATGTGTAAGGTAGTTTAGTGAATGCAAACAGGACTGTGTCATGTAGCCTTTTCACAGAACCTCAGTGCCATTCACAATGCAATAGGTGTGGTTAGACTATTAAGAAATAAAAGTTGCCAAGAAATTTTGGGCAGGATTCACTTAATTAAGTTAATTAAGCCTTTGGCTTGGAGCCAATTTGATTCCCTCCCTCTCTTTCTTTTTTCTTTTCCTTCTCCTCCTGCGATGAGGCGACATTTTAATATTTTAATGTTTCATTATTTTAATGTTGTATTTTAATTTTGTTCTTAAGTTGTAATCATTCAACTTGTTTTTATTATTGCTTGTAAGCCGCCCTGAGCCCGGCCTTGGCTGGGGAGGGTGGGGTATAAATAAAAATTATTATTATTATTAACTGGCAGAAACCCTTCACGAGGATTTCTACTTGCCCGATGGGATTACCCCTCCCTCTGCCCGCATGCTCCACAAAATTGGCTGGGGGTGGGTGAGTGCTGAATGCAGGACCATTCCCTCTGACAAGCTGGAATGCTTGGAAGACCACGATGTTGAATTATATCCTCTGTTCAAAATAAACAATTGCATGCATAAATACAGCATAGGCCTAGCAGTGATGTTCCACTATTTCCTGTTGATGAAGTTTTCAGTGGTGTTGAAAGTGACCATGAAGAGAGCTGCTTGACTTCCCACCAGAAGGGGTCGTGCTACTCCTGTTCCTAACACATTTCTTAACTGCAGCCATGAGATGTGTTACACTTTATACCAGTGAAGGAATGGGGAGATATTCCTCAAGGCATTTGCCAAAACACAATTTCACACTTTCTACCTGGGAGACGCATGGGATATTACCTCAAGAAAGGTGGAAATGGGAGACCTTTCCTTCCCTTCAATAAGTTATTAGCACTTCTGTTTCAACATGTTTCCTTTTACCAGGGCTGCAGTAATAATAATAATACAAAATCCCTGCTTTGCAAAGAATGGGAGAACTAACCTTTGAAATGCTGGTGGGCTCCTCGGAACTACGTGAAGGCAATAAGCTTATGCCAATGTTTTAAATGTTTTAGGAAAGTGTACCTCAGGCATGGGGCAGGGACCCCACAGTGGAGTCCCATCCTTCCTGACCGCTGGCTGTGCTAGTTAGGGCTGATGGGAAGTTAACTTCTTACTTTGATTTGCCTAAGACAAACAATACCCCCTTCACAAAAACTCCACACAGAGAGAAACAGCAATAAGCATGATTATCATAAGCCCTCAAAAGCCTTGAGAAGGAAGTACATCTTCACATGGTGCCAAAAGGGTGAGAATGTCAGCACCAGGCAAGCCTTGCTGGGAAGAGAATTCCATAGAGTGAGGCCACAACCAAAAAGGCGTAATTCTTCAAACTTCTCTCAGACAGAGGACCTGCAGAGGAGCCTGGGATCACGAATGAAGGGTCCATGTATGTTCACTTGGTAAATTGTAGTTCCAAAACATCTGAAGGGACTTCTCTGCCATACACACAGCTAAGCATAACCCATCCCACTACTATGGGAATATTTATTTTGCTGACTACATGGCCTTTTGCCGTGAAATTAAGACAGGTTGCCAGAATCAAATTCTTAGATTCCAACTTAGTTTTGCTTAGCACTCAGTTCTGGGTGGCATGTTCTTGATTCCACAAAGATGGAAGTTTCTATAACATGTAAGCTTTGGGACCCTTGTGGACAGATATGAAGATAGGAGTGGAGCACTATGACATCTACTGCCTCGTCTTCCTTGAAATGAAGGTCCAGAGGTTCATATGGATTGAAAAAGGAATACAGAAAAAGCCATTCAAAGGAACAGACGAGAAGAGGACATTTTTGTTAGGAGTAGGAGATGCCAGCAAAACCCACTGGGTGGTATTTAATTGTCATGCTCAGAGCAGACATAAATGGATTTTAGACATGGCTAACTTAAGTCCATGGATTTCAATGGGTCTAATTGGTATATGACTTAGTTGGATACTACCCGTTGCTTTTTTAAAGTTTCCTTCCCACTGTTTTTAAGCTAGAACAGACATTATAGTTACTATTAATAGGGACATCAAGGCTGTGTTCTTTCTCAATACATTTTTTTAAGCCTTCAAAGCCTGTGGCCATCACTACATCTTATGGCAGTAAAAACCTTAATAAGTTGTGCATTGTCTCAATAATTTCTTGAAACATGTTCAAGCCCAAGAGATTTGGGAGACACTTTCTGCACCTTTTGTAGCTCTCTGACAAGTATTTTTGATAAGAGGCAACTAGAATCATACACTGAAATAAATATTATTCTTGATTCGCCCCCCCCCCCCAATTCAGAGTAAAATATGCATACTTCTTAGTGGCACACCGGACGCCATTGCTTGTCCCTTTAATACGGGTCCCCACCTGTAACATTGCTTTAAGTGTGTGCAGTTGTCTACCACTATGTCACTTTCCTTATCCTTACCCTCCTTCCAAAGCGCATTCAATGCAAGTGTCTTCCCTCAGAGAATCATGGGAACTGTAGTTTCACTTGCTCAGAGCTACAGTTTCCAGTACCCTTAACAAACTACAGTTCCCAAAGTTCTTTGGGTGAAGTGACTAAATGTACTTTAAATGGGGTTTTTTTGGGGGGGGGTCTTCCCCTTTTTACAATCTGCCTATTGCAGATTGTAAGCACCTTGGAGTCAGGGTTCTGCCCAGGTAACTCTTGTTAGGTTTACATCCGTGCTGATGGCATCCCAGACCCTCCAAGCGTCCCTGTTTTCCAGGGACATCCCTGATCTAAAGAAGCCATCCTGGTTTCTGACCGGGATGGCTGGTTTTCCTTAGGATGTCCCTATTTTCATTGGAGAAATGTTGGAGGGTATGGAGTTATCCAACCTTCAAGCCACCTGGAGGCAATCCTGTATAGGGAAGTGGTTTTTTTTTAAATGTTTAATTATGTTTTTATATATGTTGGAAGCTGCCCAGAGTGCTGGGGGCAACCCAGTTAAGATGTGTGGGGTATAAATAATAAAATTATCATTATGGAATGGGAGGTCCCTATTTTCATCGGAGAGATGTTGGAGGGTATGGCATCCTGCCGTGACGGATCACTTGCTTTCTGCCTTTCCTCCTATTCCTGTATACGCCTCCTCTCCTCTACACAGCATTGACTAGGTGGCGATTTCAGGAAGAGCCCAACAACTGCCGCAAATGCTTCAGATCCTCGCCTAACGGGCAGCTGCGCGGGAGCGCAGTGGAATCAAACCAAGCAGTTCCCCTACGACGTAGGTGAACAAGCATTGTGGGTGGTCTGGCCAGGGCATACCAGCTTCCGAACCTTTAAAATGAGGTCGTGCTGTTATCTCCGTTGGTAGAGCGTGTGAGACTCTCAATCTCACGGTCGTGGGTTCGAGCCCCACATGATCGGGCAAAAGATTCCTGCATCGCAGGGGGTTGGACTAGATGACCCTCGTGGTCCCTTCCAACTCTATCATTCTATGTTCTTAAAACGGGACTGGATCATAAATTAGCCTCCATGTCTGAATGAATCACTGCTCTAAGCACTTTGCAAACTCTATGTTCTGTGTATGAGATGGGGAGATATATATATATATTCCGAGGTCCCTGTCTGCAGATCAGACCAGAAGCTCCACCGACGGTGTGTTGTGTGTGTGTATTTGTATTTGTGTGTGTCGGGTTACAGGCGCCTGGGGAACCTGCTTGCAACACAGCGCAAGTGGCAGCGCCGTTCCTCCTATCAGCTGAGAGAGCCTTCCCAGTTCTCCCAATACATTGGGCTAAAGGAGGTTTTTCTCCCCCCCCCCTTTTCTTTCGGTCTGTGCGCCCGCCTCCTCGAAAGCATCACCACGTGGCCCTCCCTTAGCAACGGGAAGAGATGTTTTGGCACAGTCAGCTGGGGGCCAGGTTAGGATCCCCGAGGGGAATCCACAGGGTCGCGGGCATCTGGAAGAGGCGAGGAGGATCAGCAGTCAGTTTCTGAGGCGACTGCTGTCTTTTAAAAGCGCACGGCCTTTAAGCATCAGGTTTTTTGTTTTGCTTTTGTTTAAAAAGCCATTCTGCAAAAATGAACCATCCTCACCCTGGGTAAGTGAGAAGGTTCCAGATCTTCAGGGGGAGGGTCGGGGGGGGGATGGGATAAAATGGGATGGGGCAGACAGCAGCTGTATATATATAGTGTGTGTGTCTTAAAAACCTACCGATTCACCAGTTTGGGGGGCTATTTGGTATTGTTTCAGGGTTCATCTCCTGCTTGAAAATTACATATATGTGCCTTTTATCCCCCATTACCAAAATGTCATTTTCTTTTCAAAATGAAAGAGAGGCTTTTATGTATAATGATGACATGCGTCACTCTCGCCGCCAGAGTTGCGTCAGGTGCTAAACCTCAATTAATGGAGCAGAAAGATATGTTTAGTGCGAAGTTTGTTAGACAGCAGAGGAATACGAACAGGGAAGTGCCACAGCTGAACTCGTTAATATTCTCCAAGAGCGATGTGGTGGCAAGGAGCATGGAGGGGTAATTTAACATTAAAAACCCGTATCCAAACTAAAGTTATTGTTATCTTCCTCCTTTTGGGTTACCTGCCTAAATACAGATTTGGCAGCTCTTGCTATTCAACCAGAGAAGTCTTTTATGCAACTTAAATGTAGTAAAACTGATATTTTAAAGCAACTGTGATGAGTTGCTTTCTTGTAATGAGCCATCAGAAATAAAGGCTGGGAGGCAAAGTATCTCTGAGCTTGTCTTGCATTTAATTTAAGGTTTTCTTTTCCCTTTCCCTTGTATCTATCACCTTTTCAAAGAAGAAGAAGAAGAAGAAAATGGAGGGCATCCAAATTTAAATCATTACAAGTTTCTTGCATTAGAGACACAACAATAACTTTGACTTTCAATTCCTGTTGTCAACACTGGCTGGTTTTTTTTTGTTTTGTTTTCTAATTAATTATTTGAGAATTATGAAATCAACTGTAAGGAAAGCAACAGTAATAAATTCACAGCTGATCATACATTGCTTAACTTGCTAAAACATCCATCTTTTTATTGGGTAATATTCACACTTGTTTTGAACTTGGACAGATGATTATTTTTAAGTGAACTTTGAGTGTTTTAAACACATGAGCTATAGTGAAGATAACCCCTGAAGCTGTGTGTATAGATTAACTTAATGAAGACAAATCCATATATCTTGTTTTTGGCAAAAAATTATCCATGCTAAGCCATGCCAACTGAAATGCTGTATCTGGCGTCGTTCTGGGGGGACTATTACACAAATCTGATCCATGGAGTGCTCCGATGTTCAATTAATGATGGACCTATTATGAATTAAGGGATCCAGATTAAGTTAGTTGCGCTTGGTTCTTATTAAAACCAATAGTATTTACATAATGATTAACTTACTCCGTTGATTTCAATGTGACTTAAACTTAACTAACTGTGGCTTCAATCCTATACCCACTTACCTGCTAAGTCCCATTGAACTCAGTGGGTGATATCCAGGACATAGCAAAAATATGCAATGCAGCTTTACACAGTGATCATAAATAGAATGTTCAGGGAGAGGAACAGGAAACTAGGCTAATCTTCTACGATTTTCTACAAAGCCTCTCCACATAGTTTAGGCATACCTTTTTGACAAGGTAGTAGTGACAACTAGAAGCCACAGTGGACAAAATTGTCCTGTGTAACTCTGAAAGCTGCTATAGACCTATCAGGGTATATCCTGGGGGTGAGGAACATATGGTCTTGCAGATGTTGCTGGAACTCCCATCATCTCTGACTGTTGGCCATGCCATCGTATCTGTGGCTGTTGGGTACTGAGGCTCAATATTGCAGAGGGTGCTGCATGAGATGACTCCTTGCGTCCCTTCCAACTCTGCAGTTTGAAGATTCAAACATTGGGAGGGCAGCAGGTTCCCCACCTGTGGCCAATGCTGGATTACTGGCATAGGTGCCGACTCCATGGGGCTTGAGGGGGCTCGAGCCCCCTCAAAAAAATTTTTTGGGGGGCTCAGCCCCCCCAATAATCTCGGGCGCCGGGGGCGGGGGCTCCTGCCTCGCTGCTTCGCAGCACCACCGCCACTGCCAAGGCACTGCCGGGGGAATTTCCTTCCTCCTGGCGGTTTCAGCCCCCGCGAGAACAGGGGAATCCCGACTGGCCACACCTCCCAGCCAGCCAATCGGCTGGCTGGGGGGGCGTGGCTTGCCCTATTTAGGGCCGGAGCCACTTTATTTGCATATTCATGAGCTTATTTATTATTCATGAGCTTTCCCGGGCCCCCCCAATATTTTTTATAAGTCCGCGTCCCTGATCACTGGCCTTCAGCTCCAGCCCTAATTTTCTCCCTCGCTGCCTATCAATACTGCTGCCTCCTGTGGTCCTTGGCCATATGAAGGTGTTTGTGTCAGAGACCCATCTTCACCTTATTTCTTCAATCCTTCAACTCTATCTCTTGACCATTCCCAATCATTGTTTTATTAGCCCACTTGCTACTCAATCACCTAAGCCTCTTTCTCTTCCTACAAGGCTCTCCAGACCTCAGCATTAACATATATTCAGCACCCATCTCTTATTAACCCCTTCTTGCCTGAGAGACCCTGGCCTTCCTTACCCTTTCCTCAAGCCTCCTCTCCTCCATCTGTTCTGGGTTCCCTATTTTCTAGAACTTTTTTTCAGTACTCATTCTGCCTTTGAAAAATAGTTCTGATTTTGGCTCCAGGTCCCATGTTGAGTTGATTTTTAATCCCAGCCAGACTGGCAGCTCCATTTTATCACAGAAGGCACATTGCAAACTTCCTCAGAGTTTTGCTTCTGGAAGTTAAATGTTTAGAAACATTCCATACTATTAGTCTTTTCTCAGCCAATCAGTGCCAGAGGCTTTACAGCCATCAACACAATGCAACGTCTATTTAAATTATTTACAACTCACTTTTCATTGTTCACGGGACGCGGGTGGTGCTGTGGGTTAAACCACAGAGCCTAGGACTTGCCGATCAGAAGGTCGGCGGTTCAAATCCCCACAATGGGGTGAGCTCCCGTTGCTCGGTCTCTGCTCCTGCCAACCTAGCAGTTTGAAAGCACGTCAAAGTGAAAGCAGATAAATAGGTACCGCTCCGGCGGGAAGGTAAACAGTGTTTCCGTGCGCTGCTCTGGTTCGCCAGAAGTGGCTTAGTCATGCTGGCCACATGACCCGGAAGCTGTACGCCGGCTCCCTCGGCCAATAAAGCGAGATGAGCGCCGCAACCCCAGAGTTGGTCACAACTGGACCTAATGGTCAGGGGTCCCTTTACCTTTACCTTTTCATTGTTCACACAATCCTAGCGTGAGGAAAAACTTTAAAATACACTAAAACAACTTCCTTTAAATAGAACTCAATGTAAAACCAAACACCATAATTTAATAGTGATTATTGGAACTTGTGAAATATATATATAACTTTGCAAAGTCAACCAAATCTTTGTTCCACTTCCTATGCCTTTGCATCATGCATCATGCTCCATGCCTTACTGTGAGGCTGGATCTAGACACATTTTTTTAAAAAAAAGCGTTTAAGGGAAACACGTTGTAAACCTCAAAGAGGGAAATAACGTTGGTGAAAGACAGAACTCGACAGCACCACCTGGTGTCACAGTGTTATAACGCATATACAATGCTTTCCCTTTACTAATGTAGCTGAGTCCTAACATTCACCTGCCATTTGACCAGTTAAAGCCTGGGTAAATTCTTCCATAATTTCTCCTGGCAGCATGTGTACTGTGACCATTTTCAGATTCAGATATGGCTCTTAAAGGAACAAAAGCAAACATTCAAAAATTAACTAAGAACTCAAGAGTGATTGGTCAACTAGCCTTGACATGAGACTTCATGTATCTGAATGGGTTGTATATAATATGCTGGGACTTCCATATTACATGAAACATTGTTTCCTGTTAAATGAAGGCTCTGTACACAACACCAGCTTAAATGCAGCTACGTTGCTCTTTTCTCAATTCAGATCAAAGCAGGTTTTTGGGAAACTGAGTATTTCATAAGAAACAACAGGATATATACAGGATAGATATGGATTGTGACTGATGTTGAGTGTACACCACTTTCCAGTGGGAGTGTGCTGGATGCACAGTAAACAGGAATGTGTGTACACTATTATATATTTACCCAGGAGTAAAACCCATTTACCTTAATGGAGTTTATTTCTGAACAGACGTATGTAGAATAATGCTGCTATTCTGTTTGCAAAGGTGTCAGTTTTCTTTATCACAACTGGAAATAAAGCCACATTGGTCACTGTATTAAAGCTATTAAACCTGGGAAAATATTTTGGTTGCGGTTGGGTCTCATTTCAGCTTAAGTGTAGAATTGGCAATAAAGTGCAATTGTAAACTGTAAGGCAGAGATTGTAACTCCCTGTAACTGGCTCTACCGATCAATAACTAGGATCTTTCCAGATTGTTTCTTTGGTGTACCATTGCTAACTTAATTGCACCATGAACAATTAACCGTGAAGATTTGTTTTCTAAAAAATAATGTTAGAGACTTACGGAGTCTTATGTTCAAATCTACTTTCAAATCAATAAAAAGAGTCACAAAAATTTGCTCTGAAAGGCAACGCTGTTTACAGTACCGTGACAGTAATAAAGGGCAGATAATGTATTTGGATCTTGCATCATAACCTGCCAAGGGGGCAGGTCTTTGGTTTGATAAAGCCGTAAGGGTTACGGTTCTGTGTTTCTGCATGATTAGGCCTTGATGGCTGGTGGCCTCATCGTGCCCCTTTCTGACTGGAGTTGTGTGCTGGTTGGAGCTGTGCATTGCACACCCTAACAAGAGGCAGTGAGTTTAAGCAGAGGAATGGTTGGGACAAGTAAGGCTCAGGGCTTGCAGGACCTACGACTGTGTTTGGGGAACAAGCCCTTCAGGAACGAACGAGTGACTGGGGGAATTATTCCAGTGCTAGGAGAAGCTCTTCTCACTGCTGCCTGTGGTTGTACACTTCATGTTTCCACCCTCTTCTATCACAACCCCAGTGAAGATGCTTTATTCTCTTTTGTCTCAGGTATGGTTAGTAAGCTTGCGGTAAACAAACAGTGCTTTATGCATTGCCAGGAACAGGTAACATAAGAAGAATGTTGTTCGCTTGTGGTCTTTCCAGTGTTGAAAACATAATATGTGTACTATGGTTTGCTGTTAACACTTGGAAACAGAAACCTGGTCTAGGCTTTCAGTACATAGTGTGTGCGCACGCATGCATTGTTTGTTTGAATGAAAGGCATACATTTCTTTAACAGGGTGGAAACCATGCCCACACGTAACCAGTGATGTCATACTAAATTTTATCATATTGGACCTGCTGGGTGGGAAAGGAGCCCATTTCTTTCTCGTGAACTACAGACTCTCATGAGATGTGCTTCAAAAGCAAAAGGCTGGGGTCTGAGTCTGCCTAGAAGCTAGATCATCAAAGCTGGAAGTCTTTCTCTGTGATCCAAACCACCTGTGGAATCAGGGTTTGGGGGACTGGCCTGGTTTGGTTGGATATAGAAGTGTCTCTTTGTATGGTTAAGTCCCTGATGTATGTCCCTGTGCATATTTACCAGTGAGGGGAAAGGGGAGGCACGTGATGATGCATGGGGATGAGAAAGAATGGGGACCAGTAATGGGCTTCTACTAGCACATGATGCTCAGATGCTAAACAGTGTTTTTAGCAGCAAATAGAAGTACAGTGGTACCTCAGGTTACATACGCTTCAGGTTACATAGGCTTCAGGTTACAGACTCCACTAACCCAGAAATAGTGCTTCAGGTTAAGAACTTTGCTTCAGGATGAGAACAGAAATCGTGCTCTGGCAGCACGGCGGCAGCAGGAGGCCCCGTTAGCTAAAGTGGTGCTTCAGGTCAAGAACAGTTTCAGGTTAAGTACGGACCTCCAGAACGAATTAAGCACTTAACCCGAGGTACCACTGTAAAGCCAAATATTGTAAGAAGACCAACAAATTACATATCTTCCAACTAGACACACATAATTTCCTTAATCAAAAGAAACTCAGGGTTTCACTGGATCTGAATCTGCCCCATTCTTGCCCGTGGGGAGTAATGCTGCCTCCTTACAATCATACGCTGTGAATGCTAAGCATTCACTTATACTGTAGCGGACAGACTGGCCAGCGTTGAGTTATCTGATCCAGAGAGTAGCCCAGGGAACTTCATGGAGAACTCCAGGTTGAACCCAAACTGTCCAGGTCATGATCTATGGCAAGTGTGGGGAATGTTGGTCATTGGCGATGCTTGATGGGGCTGATGAGAGTTGCAGTTCTGCAATATCTGGAAGGCCAAAGATTATACACCCTTGATCTACGGGTATTCATGAGCAGGTGCGTGGCAAAAGGTCAGAAGTGAGGACTCCCATAGCTAGCTAACATCTCTCTTGGGATTAGTAATAATAATTGCTCGTCAGAGAAAAAGAGCTTGACATTTATTCTATTGAGCACTGCAGCCTTAAACCTGGCTTTTGAACAAAGTGCTCTTTGAGCCTATAATGAATCTGGACGTTTTGCTGAAATGAGACTATCCACAACTGAAATGTAACACAGTAGTTCAGCAGCTAGCGTTGCTCTATCCCTGTGATATCTGTGATATTTGAGATATCTGTGTTTTAACTTGTATCTGGCCCGTGAAATACTGAGAAGGAAGTAAATGAAAGAATATTGGGGTAGGTTTATTCCCCCCTACACCTCTATTCATGCAGCACACTAGTGCCAGGAGACATTATAAATCAATGCGTGGCATAATTGCTGTAATCTGGCAGTTTCAGATGCAAATGCAACTACTGCGATAAGGAAAGTAACATAAAACAGTTGCTATAGCGCCAGTGTTTAATCACCAGGCATAACACGTCAAACTAAATTGTCTGCTTAAAGTTCAATTTATCTGGTGTAGGCTGTGGGATCATTGTGAAACCAAAAATAAACTTCCTGTAAGTCTTTGGCTTTTGTCAATGTTCTTTTCTGAAGAGAATATTTTTATGCCACCCTTTCTTCTCACCAAGAGACCTTTTGTTTACCATCACACAACATCCTGATAGCATATCCACCTGCTAAAAGCCACAGGGTTAACACACAACAAGAGAACTGAGGGAAAAGAAAGGTGAGCTAATAATAATTGTATTCACCATTTCATTTAAGCTGAGGTGGCATAAGTTTCCTTGGCTTGCTTGGCATTTAAAAGAGGGGTTAAAGGTAAAAGGACCCCTGACCATTAGGTCCAGTCATGGCCGACTCTGGGGTGTCGGCGCTCATCTTGCTTTATTGGCCGAGGGAGCCGGTGTACAGCTTCCGGGTCATGTGGCCAGCATGACTAAGCCGCTTCTGGCAGACCAGAGCAGCGCACAGAAACGCCGTTTACCTTCCTGCCGGAGCGGTACCTATTTATCTACTTGCACTTTGATGTGCTTTTGAACTGCTAGGTTGGCAGGAGCAGGGACCGAGCAATGAGAGCTCACCCTGTTGCGGGGATTCGAACCGCCGACCTTCTGATCGGCAAGTCCTAGACTCTGTGGTTTAACCCATGGCGCCACCCGCATCCCACAAAAGAGGGGTTGCTTAGGCTTATTCCCACTATGCCTTTATCTCAGGAGGTGCGCAAAGAATCTAAACCAGATGCACCTCTTTAAATGCTCATGTGTAGATATCACCCTTGTTGGGCCAGGGCAGGTCTTTAAGGACACACATCATAGCTCTGTGAGCACCTTAATTAAACACACCAGCTGTGGGAAGTGCTGGTGTAACTGCAGCAGATACAACTTCCAGCCTTCCTCAACCTGTACTGGCTGGATCTGATGGGAGTTGTACTCCAAAACATCTGGAGGGCACCAGGGTGGGGAAGTTGGCATAGAACCTTTCTTAGCCCTGAAAAAAGTTACCTAGGTAACTATGTGGGTTGTTTTGCCACGGTGTTGTGTGTGTGTGTGTGTGTTCCTTGCATTTTAAGGTAATATGTGTGTGTTCCTTGCATTTTAAGGTAAACAGTTCTCTGGGTTGTTGTTTTTTACGACTGTTTACAAGTGACTATTTTGGTTTCAGATTACTTGCAAATTACAACAGTCTAACAGACAAGCACCTGGCAGGCTACTTCAGCAACACCCGGATTAGACGTCACCTGCGGAGATCAGGGCTGGTAAGTATGCAGATATTTCTTGTCAGTTTCCCTGCATTGAGCCCTGGAGTGAGGACCCCAAGGCCCTTCATTTATTGTTGAACTACAACTCCCATCGTCCATGACCATTGGCGACGCCACTGGGACTGATGGGAGTTGAAGTTTCTCATTCCCAAATTAAACACATCTGTTTATTGAAATGCATGTTATCCAACCCTTCCTTTTAGGATCTCAGGATGGCATGCATGATTCTCCCTTACCCTTTATCTTGGTGATAACCCTGAGAAATTGGTTTGGCTGAGAGAAAGTGAGTGGCCCGCGATCACCCAGGGAGCCAGCTGAGTGGGAATTTGATCCACATACAGTGGCTAAGTGGTGACACTTTTAGCATTCTATTTCATACCCTAGCCTCTTGCCCTTGCCGCCACCCGAGAAAAAGCATTTAGGGCATACAGTGGTACCTTGGTACGTTAATCCGTTCCAGAAGTCCATTCTTAAACCAAAGCATTCTTAAACCAAGGCGTGCTTTCCCATAGCAGCGGGGGACTCAATTTACAAATGGAACACACTGTCAACAGGAAGCGAAACGTTCTTATTCCAAGGCAAAGTTCACAGACCGAAACACCCACTTCCGGGTTTGCAGCGCTCCTAATCCAAGTTGTTCATAAACTAAGCTGTTCGTTAATGAAGGTACCACTGTATTTCATATCCTACCAAGCCTGGGTGCCGTGGCATTCCTAATAATGTATGGCAGCACACCTGTTATTACTTTGACCACACCTGTCACAAATCATTGTGACAGCATCCAGAGCTGACCAATTAATGTGGCAGCATTACATGGCATGCAGTTTGCACAAAGGCTGCACACTTCCTCGGGAGCATCCAATTGAATTTTGTGGGACTTACTTCTGAGTAAACGTTTGTAGGATTGAGCTGAATGGACCCTCTCACAGGTGATGTGGAAGGGGTGTCTTCTATTCCAGGGTTGTCATTATTGGCCATTTGACCTGTCACTCACATTTACAGTGACTTGAGTCCACTGTACAGAAGTGGAAATCAAGCAGCCCAGGTGAGAGTGGACCAGGTGGTGGGCAACCACCATTTGGAATCATTTTGTGCAAGGTTAATTTTTATGGATCAAAAACAAGTTGCTTCTGACTTTGCTGAAGTGCTGGAAAACAGAAGACGTTTCATTTTATTTACATCAGTGGGATATTCTAATTCTGATCTGAAGGGTTGCTTGTGCCGGACTTCACCTATTGATAGAGCAGTAGGTGAGAGTGACACGAAATAATGGCTCCCATGGTGGGTGGAATGTTCCATTTGTGGTTCCTTAACTGCCTTTTCCTCACTGAACAACCCACATTGCCTGGAAATCGCATCTATACTATACATTGAAAGCCACATCATACCAATTTAAATGGTTGTGGCTTCCCCCAAAGGATTCAGGGAACTGTAGTTTGTTAAATGTGCTGAGGAAACCCCTATTCCGCCCACAGAGGTACAGGGTTCAGAGTTTCCTAGCAAGTGGAGTTGATTGTTAAACGACTCAGGGAAATGTAGATTTCTGAGGAGAATAGGGGTATCCCAATAACTCTTAGCTTCCTTTACAAACCATAGTTCCCAGTTTCTTTAGGGAGAGCCATGTCTGTTTAATGTGTTATATTACTGTTCAAATATATAGTGCAGATGACGTCTGACTGTAGGCATTTCCCTGATTTGCACCTAATATTTTTAAAACACAGAGAAACTCAGTGACAAATGCTCTCTTTTGTGAGGAATGGGGGTGTGTGGATTAAACCTGAAAAACAAGGAGATGCAAAATTGAGAAACTGCTTGCAGCAGCTAGTTGTTATGTAACATCCACCATGAAGGGCTAAAAAGAATAATGACTGCTACAAAATCAGGCATCATGAAAATAAAGTAGAATTGCTGAGATAAAATGCAGTGAATACTGGGAGGGTGGATGAATTGAAATTGAAATGGTGTACTTTTAGGCTATGGTTTTCTTGAATAATAGAAGAACTGAAATTTGGTCACCAGTTAATGAAAGTCTTGCCCCATTTGCTAGAAGCCCCCACTCTCTTTAAATATCTAATGTTATATATGAGTAAGGCAGTAATAGGTCAATCTGGCATGCTGGTGCTTTTAATCTGTCTTGCTCTTATGACTTAACACTGCAATTAATGGAAGAGTTCTGTGCCCCCCCTTTAATGTAGTGTTGTTCGAAATATTCATACCTCTTCCTTCTGGTTCTAAATATAAGTGACAATATGAATCCCTATTAACAAAAATCTGAAACTTAAGGTTAAATGAGATCAGAATTGTAGTTACAGATATTTAATGTGACCATGCCTTCTGGCAATGCAACATTCACAAAAGTTAAAGTTTCCGTAAACACTTTTGCACCTGCCCACTATATACTACAGACCTCTCCTGCTTTCATTCTTTGTGAACATTTTCCAGTATTAACATATCCTGTAAAAATAATCCCTCTAATTTTATTTACTTCCTCTCTTCCTCTTTTCTCAATGAAAGCCTAACAATGCAATGGGGAACATAACTCCATCTAAGCATACATTTATATGCATGTTAACTCGAACTAAGTCCCGCTGATCTGAACAGCATTTGCCCTTCAGTAGTGTGCGTGGGATTGCATCCTGATTTACAGTACAAGCCTAAGCATGTCTACTCAGAAGTAAGCCCTACAGTCATACCACTTCCTGCCAACGCTTCATGTTGCGTTTTTTTGGGTTAAGAACATGGCAAACCCAGAAGTGTTTACTTCCGGGTTTCACTGTGTGTGCACACGCAGAAGTGTTCTGCACAGTTCATGCATGCGCAGAAGCGCTTTATCACACTTCACACATGCGCAGAAGCGCCGCTATGGTTACGGACTTTTCGGGGTGCAAATGGCACCCTGGAACAGATCGTGTCCACAACCAGAGGTACCACTGTATTAACGTCAGTGGGACTTGCTCTGAGGTAACCAGGTATAGGACCACAGCCTTAATAGGGTATTTTCCAGTGTAACCATTCAGACGAAACTATCATATTTTTAGTTTGATGTTTTATCGTGATTTTACTACTCTGTTGGGAGCCGTCCACACTGGCTACGGCAACCCAGTCAGATGGGCAGCATACAAATAGTAAAATTATTATTATTTATTATTATTTGGCATAGAGATTGCAGAAAGGAAAGTGGATGTGTATATACCATATGTTTAAAACACATTTAAAACATAGGATTTCCCCAAAGAATCCTGGGAACAGTATTTTTTAAGGATGCTGGGAATTGTAGCTCTGTGAGGGTAAACTATTGCTCCTAGAATTCTTTGCGGGAAGTCATGTGCTTTAAATTAATGGTGTGTCATAGTTCATCCTCCTGGCCATCAGGGGGCAGTCTACAGCTTCCAGGTGGGAAAGGCAGTGTTCCGATGAATTGCTTTTGAGCTGTAGACTTTGTCCGTTCATGGAATACAGATAAATGAGAACCCATTGGGTAATCTTGGTAATGTGGAAGAGTGGACTCCTTGGTCACAAGGCATTTGAATAAAAGCTATTTAGAGGAGAATCATGCCACCTAATGAGGCACTTAGCATTTTCAAGTGACATTTGAAGCAAAATAAGACCGTTCCGTGCTCAAGACGTCTAACACTGGGAATGACTGATGAAGAAGTATTAATGGAAACTGGAGCTTTGTTCCATCTTAATAAACATGACTTACTATCAGTAATACAGCAGCAACCCATTTTAATGCTACTGGAGACCTTTTGGTGACATAGATGGATTAGGTCTGCATATACTTGCTATCTTGGCATAGGGCTTGGGCTTCTGAGCGTAGTTGCATCAAGTCATTCCTACCCACAAATGGCACTGAAGAGTAAGCCTGCTTTTAAGCTGTTTCTTCCCGTGCTTCTGTTACATAGCTTTTCAGGCGTTATTTGTTCTTAAGTCGTTCAACGAACCCAGTACGTTAGTGCTTGCTTCCAGTGAATTGGAAGACTGCTCTTAAAAGCTTAAAAATGAAAGAAGAGTCTTCTAAAGAGGATGCCGAAATGGACTTTCAGGCTGGGGTCCTACATGTCTCTGTGCTACATTGGATACTTTACAAGGTCTCCTACCTCATTCAACCACATAGCACAAATTGGCATAGCATGTATGGAGTGAAGGCACATTGTTGTGTTCTGGCCTTAGAGCCTGGCTACATATTACACTCACAACATGAGAACAACCACACAGTGTGGGAACGTCCTCTGCTGACCATTTTGAAGGCTTCCTGATCAACAGGCAGAGAAAGGTGGGAGGGATAGGAATTGCACGAACACAGAGTGGACACGATAGCTGCTGGCTTATCCTCTGCTCCAGGGATGGTCAACATGATGCCCTGAGAATGCTGTTGGCCTACAACTCCTATAATCCCTCACCATTGCCCATATTGACTAGGGCTGATGGGAACTGTAGTCCAACAACATCTGGAGAACACCACATTGGCTATTATCTGACTTCCTCTCTTCTTAATGGAATATTTTCTCCAGGAGTTAAGAAGGAGTAGGAGAACAGGACATTAGCCACTAAAGAGATTGATAATAAGTAAAGAACAACAAGAGACAGGGTAGACAACCAGTGGATCTTCCTTTACTGTGTTGTGATTTTTTAAAAAAAATCTCTAGTTTCCTCTGCCAAATTTTTAGTAGGCAGAGTTCTTACCCTATTTCTGTGTGACTGTGATGTTTTCACTGTTTTTAATTCTGAATTTTATAATGTAACCTGCTTGGGACCACCTGCTGGTGAAGGATGGAAAATAAATTAAATCCTCACCACCATCATCATATAATAGTAATAAGCCATCTCAAGGGGGGAGCATTCTGCTAGGTTTTTAGCAGAGCTTTCACTGACAATGAAAGGAAATGAGGAAGGCTTGGTTCATATTGATCTCCTTGGGTACGTTGGACCTCAAGACATACTAGATTGTGGCTAATACACACATATTTGGAAAAGTTGCCTGAATCTTGCATCTTCTACCACCCTCTGTACTTATATTTTACTTTTTATTGGCAGATCTCAAGAAGTGGAAGAATAATATCAGAGAAGGAATATCAGCTAAATGCTATGAGGAAGGATCACCATAAGTATATACGGGAATGTTTGGCCCAGGCCATATTCCACAAGGTTCTTGACATGGAAGTAGGTTTACATTATGGCTACTTCTCCTAAAGGCTATTAAAAAGAAATATTCATAGTGTTATTCCAAAAGGATTACTGAGACAACTTCCTGGTGTGGCAATAGCATGCAAATTTAACCTTTGGTAGGGAACATGGTAGCTTGAGGAGTCTGCAACACTTTAGGACTTAGCAACCAGCAAATTCTGAACACCCATTTCTTATGACAGTAGAGCGATTAAGGAACATTTGAGAGTTATTATGGTTTAGTAATGATGAAATGTATGCAAGAACACAAGGTATATCCACCCCTTTACTCATTCTGATTCTGAACAAGTTTTGAAGAGTCTGTGAAATTCTGTTAAGAAGCAATCTGATTTTTTCTGACTCTCTAAACCATGCCTTCAGGGTTTTGCTATCAGTACATAAAGTCCTTAACAGATTGGGACCAGTTTGATTGAAGGATCATCTCATCCTACATGTGTCTATTTGACGGCTTCAGTTTGTGGAACATACACTGTTGCGCGTGCCACATAATGCTTGTACTGCATCTGTTTGGAGTAAACCATTTAGAGTCACAACCTTTGAACTCCCTGCCTACTGACATTAGGCAGGCATCCTTGCTATGTTGTTTTAGATTCCTGCTGAAAACTTGCTTTGTTTCAACAAACCGACCTAGGTAGATAATTTAGTCTTTGTCTTTAAATGTTGCTGATATTATCTGGGTATTATAATTCATATTGTTTTATTTTTATACAAAACACAAGTATAATACCAACAAGTATAATACCACCAATGATAATCACATCCCAGTGCAGAGTCAAGCTTTTACCTGGGTCTTTACTGGCAAATTGTTTTTATGTGTGCCCCGTAGATTTGCTTGTTTGCTTTTGTTTAATTGGTTTATACATTTTTTTCTGAATTAAATGCACATGCAAGCAAGCTAAGCAGTGTGTTAGCGACTGTGAGGATAGAATCAGAGGACTAGATCTATTTATCTGGAGTAAATTCCAATAAAATGCCTGCATGAGCAGGTAAATTTTCCCTCCACTAATTTGCAAGTGGCCTGAGAAATATTAAATCATAGCAAAAACACATTCTCCAATAATTTCATATTGGCAGGGAAGAGGAAGTTAAGGGAGGAAGGAAAGATGCACGAATAGCCTGCAGTTGGTCAGAACCAATAAAGTGGCGTGAGCATCTCAGAATGCAAGAGTTCCCTACAGCCACTGGGTTCCATGCAGTCATCTCCTGAGGGCAAGGCAGCAGGAGGTCATGTTCCACCTGTGTACTCAAGAACCTATTACAGCCCATCAGATACATGCTCACATCTACCAATACGAACATCCAAGGTCAAGGACAGCCAGCAACAACAAAGAGGGGCATGGATGTAAGGAGCGAGCCAGGGCAGGGAGGAGCAGACGCTATCTCATTCACACAGAAGGTGGAAATGTGGCTGCAGGTAGGCCCCATTCTGCCTTGGTTCCACCCATGGATTGTTCCTGCCTTCTGTTTTCCCTTTGTGATGCTGATGCCCTTCCATGGCTGATCCTGTGCAATGTTAAGGTGCACGAATCACTATGTATCTATATACCTATGATGCAGGAGCCGAACCCATAATGCAGGTTATTCTACCTGGACTTCAGGTCTTTTGAGTCCTCCTAAGATGCCAGCTTTCATGCTATGCTTCCTTTTGGCACGGCTGCTTTCTCTTGTGTAGAGCGTAAAGCAGCAGTTGAGACCAACTGCCTTGGAATCATGGAATTCTAAGGGAGGCCCCGCCGTCACATACAAACATGGAGATAATTTAGCAGTCGCCTACCGCCTTCCCTCCCCCCCCCTGGTCAGCCAAATAACAGCAGCAGAAACACCTTGCTCACCCAAGGACCTTTGAAGGGACCTTATGGATCATCCAACACAATGGTTTTGAACAGTTTGCCGGTGGAATTCACAAAGAGAGTTTTGCTGTGGACTTGCATTACCTTCTCTCCAACTCCCCTGCTTGTCAAGACTGGAATCCCCATCAGTGGAAGCAGGCTAAGAAAGGAATCGTTTTACTTGGTTTGGAGTACATTAGAAATTTCGCTGTTCCCTTCTCCCTGTTCCCTTTTCTGTGAGAGACCAAGCGTAGGAAAAGGCTCTGTGTGGCCAGGGATAGTTACGGGCAAGGCCTAGGACTGGAAGGGAAATATCAGTGGTCTCTAAACAAGGGGTGTGAAACGCAAAGGGTGGAACAGAGGTCTGATGAGAAGTTGTAGTTCAACAACACCGGGGGGTGGGGACTACATTAGCTGCCCCATTATGTGTAACAACACCCCAAAGGACGGAAAAGTGCCATGGGCCTTGTCTGGGGATTGGGAAGAGAAGCTCAGCAAAGAGAGAAGTGACAGTAGCAGAGGCATGATGTGCCTTGTGGTTTTTGGAAGATTTATCTTGGTGTAGCCCTGTTGGCCACAGTGGGGCTTAACTTCTGAATAATCATGCTCAGTGGTTGTTACTTAAAATCATGTCAAAAATGGCTCCTAAAGAGCACAGGGTCTTTGATTCAGATCAGAACATCTACAGAGTTGTAGGGGTGTGTGTGTGTTAATCATTTGTTCCCAGTTTGGTTGGTCCTCCTATGCCTCTTTTTAGAATTGGGGGTTGGGAGATTCTATTGGCTCAAAGAAGAGTTCTAATTCCAATGCACAGGGCAGGTGCAGAGGCCCTGATCCGTGTGAAGACTGAAGTGAGGCAGACACTTCAAGTCCCCTCCCCCTCCCAACAGGGTCCCGGTGCAAATCAGGGTCTCACACTTGTAACTGCATGCATGGCAGTATGTTTAAGGCAAAATAAAATGGTCACTCCTCTTCTTCTTCTATGCCAACTATTGCCACCTCTGAAAACATTTATATCAAGGTGGCCCCAAACAGTGCAGCTAATAGGAAAGGTGGTAGTTTTAGCCCAGCAATATCTGAAGTGTCACATGACATGTGGTTTAAAACTACATTAAAATTGGAAAAGTACTTATTTATTGTAGATGTCCAGCAGAGCGCTGATTATTTCACAGTGAAGCTGAATGCATATGATCAAACCAGAATGTTGAAATGATATACTGGTTTTGAGTTGCTTTGTGGAGCTTGCAACATGCACCTGGTAATGTGCTTTATGCAAGTCACACACAGGAACCCCATTCCTGCACACACATACATTCCCCCCATGTTTTGTGAATATGGGTGGAAAACACGTCACAGAGCAGTGGTGAAGATTAGCCTCAAGCTTTATTTCTTCCAGTGCATGTAAATAAGATATTTCCCTTTTCTTTTCTTTTTTTAAAAACACCTAACTAGCGTCATCACCAGGGTGAGATAAAAAGAAAACTTGAAACTTCTGCCAGAAAAGACCGTATTCAGAGAGTTAAGGTAAATATTTTTCACTTCCATCTTACAAGAAACCTCAAAAACTTGTTTTGTGAATGCTGTACATCTCTTTGTCTGTGCTAGGAATGGGATCACTGGTGTGAGAGATAAGAATTCTGTGAAGAAACTTTGTCAGATTCTGTAAGCAGTTACTTCTATGTATATAGCCATGGCATTGATATTTATTTCATCTCTCTAATTCTCTCTCTCTGTTCTTAATGCATAACTGGCTGTGTTCTCTCTTAGCTTATTAGACCTGATTTGCTTTTGACTAGCAACAATCACATTTATACGAAAATAAAAACCCATTTACTAATACCTCAAGACTCATTTGCTGGTCTTGGCTCTCTTATGAGGTCTCAAAGTAATTGAGACACTGCTTTTCACAGATTTCTCCAAACAGCAGGGCAAACAGGGAGCATCTTCCGTTTCTTAACTATACCACTTTCTCAGGCATCTAAATTTTCTAGGTGGAACGATCAAGAAGGGCAGCGGAAGATGGACCTCGCCTGCTTTCCCCACACCCACCCACTGGGCCAAGAAATCGCTTGGGGCGCCGCAGATTTGGCAACAGGGGGCAGTTAGGTCAACTGGTGAGTTGAAGAGGGCCCATAAGGCCATGTTTTGTTTGTTACAACCCTGCCCTACATTTAACTTTCAGCTATGCCATCACAGGCCACAGCCTTGATCCAACTGGAATTAAAGTATTAAGACTCCTGAATTTGCAACATTGGGATTTTTTATTTTTTACCAGTAACATTTCTTCCTTTGCTTTTGTCTAAAAACAACCCCTAACTCTAGGCCTGATGACCTGCTTCAACCCCCCAATTCTCTTTATCTGACCGTTGGGAGTCTTCCCACACCACATTGCCTCCCCATCAATGAACAGCCTCTCTTCACAGACCATGTCCATTACTGGCCTGCTTTGCTGCCTCCCTGAGTATTTTTGGCTGGTTGAAATATGTCATTAAATACTGTTACAGTGGTACCTCAGTTTAAGAACAGCCCTGTTTAAGAACGATTCAGTTTATGAGCTCCGCAAAACAGGAAGTAGTGTCCCGGTTTGCGAACCTACATCCACACCTTCATTTTATTTTTTTAAAATGCAAGATTTACACAAAACAGCAGTTTTAAAAAGTGTGTCCCTCAGAGACCAGCAAGAATGTGGAGTCAATTGCAAGAAAGGTTTCCACTGCCTTTCTTCCCTTTTTCCTTTCTTGCCTCCTATGTCTGCAAGGGCAAATGTTCTTTTTCATATCAAATACAGTTGTTTTGTGCAAGAGCTGTTCTGCACAAAATAGCTACTTTGAAAATTAAAATACTGCTACCTTGAGCAACAACCACTGGAAAAGGGCAGGCTGCATCCTTTCCTTTGGGCTCATGGAAACCGCGTGGAAGTAGGGGGTGGGGTGTATAAACTGCACCCAGAAAATGTCACCACACATGTAAAAAAGAATAAGAAGAAGCCCACTCACAAAACACACCTCAGTGTGTCCACAGTCTGTTAACATGCATTTTTATTTTGGATTTTCTTTCCTTGCTGGGTTATCTGTGGATTGGGGAAATCAAAATTTAACACACGGAAAGTACAGCCAACCAACTTGGACGAGGAGGATGTTGTGCGGATGCTGCAAATATAAAACAATAGGGAGTCAAGCATCTTCAGATACTCATTAAACTCCAGAGTGGATGACTCTTCAATCTCTTATAAAAACATCATTCTTTATTTTGTCTACATGACTTCCCAAGAGAATATATGTCTGAATACCATAATTATTAGTGACAGAACAGTGAGCAAAGCATCCTGTGACCATTTATGCAGTAAGGGATATGATAGTAGTAGCTGTGTTGGACCTCAGCCTATATATTTTGAAACAAAAGCACCAGGTCACATAGTGAGCTGCTCCTAAGTGTCTCCCACTTTCCCATTTATTTAATTTGCCCAGGCTACCTATCCTCGACCAAGCACTGCGCCAGGGAGCATACAGCAACCAGTCCGACTGCAGCCACTTCTCAGCTGTGCCACAGATGAACCTGCACCAAAGGCTGCTTCTAGACCAAAGCACCTCGTCTATGAGAAAGAACATCAATATGCCAGCGGGGTCAGACTTTGCTCTTTTATACAAGCACTTCTGTAGAAAGAATGATTATAAACTCACTCATTGTATTCATAATAATAATAATAATAATAATAATTTACTATTTATACCCCGCCCATCTGGCTGGGCCTCCCCAGCCACTCTGGGCGGCTTCCATAAAAACCACAAATACAGTAAAATATCACACGTTAAAAACTTCCCTGAACAGGGCTGCCTTAAGATGTCTTCTGAATGTCAGGTAGTTGTTTATCGCTTTGACATCTGCTGGAAGGGCGTTCCACAGGGCGGGCGCCACTACCGAGAAGGCCCTCTGCCTGGTTCCCTGTAGCTTTGCTTCTCGCAATGAGGGAACAGCCAGAAGGCCCTCGGCGCTGGACCTCAGCATCCGGGCAGAATGATGGGGGTGGAGACGCTCTTTCAGGTATACTGGACCGAGGCCGTTTAGGGCTTTAAAGGTCAGCACCAACACTTTGAATTGTGCTCGGAAACGTACTGGGAGCCAATGTAGGTCCTTCAAGACCGGTGTTATATGGTCTCGGCGGCCGCCCCCAGTCACCAGTCTAGCTGCCGCATTCTGTATTAGTTGTAGTTTCCGAGTCACCTTCAAAGGTAGCCCCACGTAGAGTGCATTGCAGTAGTCCAAGCGGGAGATAACCAGAGCATGTACCACTCTGGTGAGACAGTCTGCAGGCAGATAGGGTCTCAGCCTACGTACCAGATGGAGCTGGTAAACAGCTGCCCTGGACACAGATTTGACCTGTGCCTCCATGGACAGCTGTGAGTCCAGAATGACTCCCAGGCTGCGCACCTGGTCCTTCAGGGGCACAGTTACCCCATTCAGGACCAGGGAATCCTCCACACCTGCCCGCGTCCTGTCCCCCCAAAACAGTACTTCTGTCTTGTCAGGATTCAGCCTCAATCTGTTAGCCGCCATCCAACCTCCAACCGCCTCCAGGCACTCACACAGGACCTTCACTGCCTTCACTGGTTCTGATTTAAAAGAGAGGTAGCGCTGGGTATCATCTGCATACTGATGAACACCCAGCCCAAATCCCCTGATGATCTCTCCCAGCGGCTTCATGTAGATGTTGAAAAGCATGGGGGAGAGGACCGAACCCTGAGGCACCCCACAAGTGAGGGCCCAGGGGTCTGAACACTCATCCCCCACCACCACTTTCTGAACCCGGCCCAGGAGGAAGGAGCGGAACCACTGTATAACAGTGCCTCCAGCTCCCAGCCCCTGAAGACGGTCCAGAAGGATGTTATGGTCGATGGTATCAAACGCCGCTGAGAGATCCAGCAGAACTAGGAAACAGCTCTCACCTTTGTCCCTAGCCCGCCGGAGATCATCAACCAGTGCGACCAAGGCAGTTTCAGTCCCATGATGAGGCCTGAATCCCGACTGGAAGGGATCCAAATGGTCCGCTTCTTCCAGGCGTGCCTGGAGTTGTTTGGCAACCGCTCGCTCAATCACCTTGCCCAAGAATGGAAGATTTGAGACTGGGCGATAGTTGGCCATCGTGGCCGCATCTAAAGATGGTTTATTAAGAAGCGGTTTAATAACCGCCTCTTTCAGCGGGTCTGGGAAGGCTCCCTCATGGAGGGAAGCATTCACCACCCCACGAAGCCCATCGCCCAGTCCTTCCCGGCTAGCTTTTATAAGCCAGGATGGGCAAGGATCCAGGAGACAGGTGGTTGGTTTCACTCGTCCAAGCAGCCTGTCCACATCCTCGGAGGTAACAGATTGGAATTGATCCCACTCAACTTGGCTAGACAGAACTCTAGCACTCTCCCGCCCCGGCCCTGCTCCCACGGTGGAGTCTACTTCTTCCCGAATCTGAGCGATTTTATCTGCAAAAAACTTTGCAAAATCATTGCAGGAGAACATGTGGCCCGTACTGGGCCCCGATGTTGCAGATGGTTCCGCTAAATTGTGAACCACCTGAAAAAGTCTCCTGCTGCTGTTTTCTGCAGATGCAATAGAGGCGGTGAAGAAATTCTTCTTCGCCGTCGCTATCGCCACTTGGTAGGCTCGACGTTGAGCTCTAACCTGTGTCCGGTCAGATTCGGAATGAGTTATCCGCCACCGGCGCTCTAGCCGTTTCAACGATTGTTTCATTGCCCTCAGCTCCGTGGAAAACCACGGGGCTGTCCGGGCTCCATGCAATCGGAGAGGGCGCTTCGGAGCCAAACAGTCAATAGCCCTGGTTAACTCCACATTCCAGTGGGCCACCAGGGAATCAGCTGAAAGGCCATCAACATGGGATAAAGCATCCCCTACCACTCTCTGGAAACCATTTGGATCCATTAAGTGGCGGGGGCGGACCATCCGAATTGGTCCTACCTCCCTGCAGAGGGGATGGGTCGCAGAGAAGTCCAGTTGCACCAGGAAGTGATCTGACCATGGCACTTCTTTCGTTTCGCTTTTACTTAGTGTCAGATCACCAACATCCATAGAGGTAAACACCAGGTCCAAGGCATGTCCGTGGCTATGGGTTGGGCCAGACTTATTCAAGGACAGCCCCATGGAGGCCATGCTTTCCACGAAGTCCCGAGCGGCCCCTTGTAAGGTCGTGTCGGCATGGATGTTAAAATCCCCTAGGACGACCAAGCTAGGTGTCTCCAGGAGAACATCCGCCACGACCTGAAGCAGCTCGGACAGGGAATCCTTGGTGCAGCAGGGAGGTCGGTACACCAAAAGGAATCCTGTACTGCCCCTATTGCCCAACTTCCAGAACATGCACTCAGAAAACTGGGTCTTCCCAATAGGACGCCTGGTGCAAACTAATGACTTCCTAAAAATCACTGCAACCCCCCCTCCCCGCCCACATGACCTGGGTTGCTGTGCGTAAGAGAAACCTGGTGGACAAGCAGCGGCAAGGACAGGCCCATCTGCTTCATCCAACCAAGTCTCTGTCACAAATAAGACCTTAACTGATGGCCCAGCACAAGGTTAGCTAACACAGTGCCCTCCAGAGATTATTGGATTCCAGCTCCCATCTGCCCCAGATATCATAGCTAAGGATGATGGGAGCTGTAGTCCAACAGCAAGTTCTTTGAGGGTTAAGATGTTAAGAGGGTTAAGATGTTAACTTTTATGTTGGCTAATGTTCTAGGAGAAATCTCTGTTTCTTTTACTCTTTGGAAATCGAAGTGAAATTATTAGACTGTGCAGTATTAAAGCTCCCCTTCTCCCCTTTTCAACTGAGCTGTTCGAGGCTAATAATTAGGGATTTGGGGTGAGAATTTGAAGCACAGGTTGCAAGCAGAATCAAGGCAGACCTGGCTGAGCAGGTGTGCTTCTTTGATTCTACCCATACCCCAAACTCTCTCTAGCTGCTACCCTGTTCTTCTCTAACACAAAAAAAGTCATCTGCTAGGACAGGCTTCCTCAATCTCAGCCCTCCAGATGTTTTGAGACTACAATTCCCATCATCCCTGACCACTGGTCCTGCTAGCTAGGGATCATGGGAGTTGTAGGCCAAAAACATCTGGAGGGCTGAGATTGAGGAAGCCTGTGCTAGGATGTCAGTTATCCAGTTCCATGTGCCAGGAAGTGGGTAACTCAAATTCTGCCCCCCCCAAAAAAAGTTGGTTTTGTAACTTCTCTTAGTACCAACTTAAGCAAAATTATATTGTTCTTTTCTGATGTCTATCATTCCATTTTTTGTGTTATTTTGCATCATTCATTCTGCACTTGCTGTTCATTGGGAGGGGCATGGACCTTTGAGACAGTTGTGTCTCCAGCTATTTTTGCACTAAAATCCCTGACCACTGGTTCCTTGCTAGCTAAGGATGATGGGAGTTGTAGTCCAAAAACAGCTGGAGACCTAAGTTTAGAAAGGCCTGGGTTAGACCAAAGGTCCATATGTCAGCATCATTCTATCACCAACAGTGAACAGCCAGATTCTTCCCGGAAACACAGCCATTGGTACTGTCACTGCCTCTGAACATGGAAGTTTAATGTAGCTGTCATGGCTAACAGCTATTGATCCACAAGTGTGTCTGATCCTCTTTTTTAAAAACATCTAAGCCAGTAGCCCTCGCCACATCTTTTGGCAGTGAACTCTATTCATCACTTACACGTTGTGCGGAGAAGTACTTTCTGAATCTACTGCCAATCACTTTCATTGATTGTGTACTTTCTTTGTAATTGCCTCAGTTAGTAAGCTGCCATGATCTGGCATGTGATTATTCAGATCCATGACTGGAATGCAGATACATGGCCAACGGGACGCTCTCCAGCACACCCACAGTCACTGGGGATGTTCTGGCAAGTGCAAACCTCACACACGAGGCAGCAAATGTTCTTGGTGCATGTTCCCCTTGTCCCCTGGAGGAAACCCTGTCAACTGTGAATGGGAGAGATGTGGTGTACCTTGGCATGTGCCCACTCCATGTTTACAAGCACAGGTTTGCCCTTCTCACAGTGCTTTCCTTTCACACGGAGTTCACTGTGGCAAACCCTGAGGTACAGTACATGATATGGGCAAACCTCCCATAAATATTAACTCATAAAAGCAGAGGACAAAGGGAAATCCAAACCCTAGGGCAGTAGTAAAAGGGGTGGGATGTATTGAGAATCTGTATCGCAGACCAGAAATGAACAAGTGGGCCTGTATTCCCCCCCCCGCAAAAAAAATGCTTTTGTTTTTTAAAACCCATTGAACCTAAAGTACTGAGAAATTCTAAGCAAAAAAGTTTATCGAACACTGCTCTTAATGCATAATTTTAAATTGTGCATGTACTGCTGTTAAATATTTCAGGGAGAGAAAGGGGTGCTAAAATCTCTGGATTATTCATCTGGCATATCCCCATACCGACTTCCTATTGTGAACAATTTTATGGTACCTATTCCACCACCTCCCAGAAGTGAGAAGAAAAGTGGTGCACCGAGAGGCCGCCGTTTTCGCCCAACAACCGCACCCAATGGCTTGGAGCAAATGATGAAGGTAATATGATTTTGCCATAATTTTTGGCTTTCATGTTTCCTCGACATCACATTTCCTCCTAAAAACCTTTGAGGATGTAGACTGATACGCCTGCAAATTGAAACTCTATCTGTTTGCAGAATGTAACCGATCTGTTTTCTGTAGTGGCTCCTCACCTTTGGATTGCACTAAGATAAAAATGGATCTCTGTTTGTGAATGGAAGATTAAGATAGAAGGTTGATAGAACATATAGACAGATAGATAGATAGATAGTGTATGTTTCTGTTTCTTTTAGTTTGTTTTCCCTCTTTTTTCTTTCCCTTTTTATTATTTTGCCCTTTTTAGGTATTATCTTTGTATAGTTTTTATAGTATTATATGTTGAAAATCTTCAATGAAATTGATTATTTTTTAAAGTGACCTCTTGGATCAGGCCAAAGTCCCATCTGGTCCAGTGTTCTCTTTCCTGTCCGATACCTCTGGGATACCCACAAGGAGGGCATGAAGGCAATAGCACTCTCCTGTACTTCTGCAAGCACGCTGCCTCTGATCCTAGAAGTCCTATAAGGCCTTTGTGACTAGTAGCCCCTGATAGACTTATCCTCTATGAATTCGTCTAATAAAGCCACCTAAAGTGTGGTAGCTCCTGCCAACCTAGCAGTTCGAAAGCACATCAAAGTGCAAGTAGATAAATAGGTACCGCTCCAGCGGGAAGGTAAACAGCGTTTCCGTGCGCTGCTCTGGTTCTCCAGAAGTGGGTTAGTCATGCTGGCCACATGACCCGGAAGCTGTCTGCGGACAAACGCCGGCTCCCATGGCCTATAGAGCGAGATGAGCGCCGCAACCCCAGAGTCGGTCACGACTGGACCTAATGGTCTGGGGTCTCTTTACTTTTACCTTTAAAGTGTGGTAGTGAATTCCATTGGTCACATCATTTACCTTCACTGGATTATTATGAAAGAGGAAGGAACACTTTTCTGTATCCACTTTCTGCATACTTCTGCCACATTACCCCTTGCCTGCGTAAGTAAAAAGCCCCCCACACTAATCTTATTCGTAGGTGGGTTGCTTCAGACTCCTCAGAATTCCAGTTGTTCTTTACTGCACTACTGATGCAGTTTCTTTCCAGCGCTTCAGTATTCTTCTTGCTGTGTGGTGACCAGAGCAGTACACTGTATTCCAAGTGTGGTTTCACCATAGATTTCTCCAATGCCATTGCGATATTGCCAGTTTTATTTCTGAGCTCTTTCATAATGATCCTATTATTTTATGCTGGAAGTGAGATATTGTTGTTGTTGTTGTTGTTGTTGTTGTTGTTGTTGTTGTTGTTGTTACCCCACCCATCTGGCTAGGTTGCCCCAGCCACACTGGAGGCTTCCAACATCAAATATTAAAAGCTTCCCGATACAGAGCTGCCTTCAGATGTCTTTTAAAAGTTGCATAGTTCTTTATCTCCTTGACATCTGATGGGAGGGCGTTCCACTGGGAGGGCACCACTGCTGAGAAAAAGCCCTCTGCCTGGTTCCCTGTAGCTTCACTTCTTGCAGCGAGGGAATCGCCAGAAGGCCCTCGGAGCTGGACTTCCAGGCTGAACGATGGGGGTGGAGACGCTCCTTCAGGTATACAGGGCTGAGGCTGTTTTAGAGCTTTAAAGCTGAACACCAACACTCGGGAACGTACCGGGAGCCAGTGTTGTATGGTCCTTGGCAGCCGCTCCTGGTACCCAATCTAGCTGCTGCATTCTGGATTAGTTGTAGTTCCCATGTCACCTTCAAAGGTAGCCCCACATAGGGTGCATTGCAGTAGTCCAAACAGGAGATAACCAGAGCATGTACCACTCTAGCGAGACAGTGCACGGGCAGGTAGGGTCTCAGCTAGCATACCAGATGGAACTGGTAGAGAAGTTGCCCTGGACACAGAATTCACCTTTTCCATTACTGCTGCATAAGATGTTATCTACCTCTGAAGTACCACATCTCTCCATTGTGTGATGCTCTGTGCAGCCCCAAACAGCTTAAAGGTAAAGGTACCCCTGACCGTTAGGTCCAGTCATGACGACTCTGGGGTTACGGCGCTCATCTCGCTCTATAGGCCGAGGGAGCCAGCGTTTGTCCGCAGACAGCTTCCAGGTCATGTGGCCAGCATGACTAAGCCACTCCTGGCGAACCATAGCAGCACATGGAAACACCGTTTACCTTACTGCTGGAGCGGTACCTATTTAGCTACTTGCACTTGACATGCTTTCGAACTGTTAGGTTGGTAGGAGCTGGGACCGAACAACAGGAGCTCACCCTGTCGTGGGGATTCGAACTGCTGACCTTCTGATCAGCAAGTCCTAGGCTCTGTGGTTTAGACCACAGCGCCACCCACGTCAGCTTAGGTTAGTCCATTAGACTCTTTCCATGTGGTGCGTATGGAATATGCGTCAAGGCACTGGGAAGGCCGTAAGTGATTGCTTTGGATTCTAGCAGAGGGATTGTGCATGCCAAGTTGCCAGTTGCTCATTGCCTTGCCACATGCTCAGAGTGCGATTGCTGAACACTGACAGCAGAAAATGGATCTTGGCAGGGCAAATATCAGCCATGGAAAACTGCAGGTATCTCAGTGGACTTTTGTGCTCTTTGATGTAGGAGACAGTGAAGTTCTACAGGCCTCAAATACAGAGCAATGCGTATGTTACCATGATCTATTTGGGGAAAACAGTGCACCTGTCCTATGACCTTTTAGACAACCGAGAGGAAATCAAAATATATCAACAGCACTGTGGAGGTGAAAACCTGTGTGTGTTCAGAGCCAAAGTACTGGAGGGAGGTAAGCATGAGAAAGCCCAAGAGTTCATTTCAGTTCTGGAAAACTCTTTATTTTATGTGGATAAACTGTGGAAGTGGAAGCGAAATTATTTCCACGAAGCTGTGTGTCGTTATGCGTGTCCAGGGACGTATATACCAGCTGCCTCAAACTAAGTCTAGATTTACTGTTTCATGATTGAAAACGAGGCTGCAATTACTTTTGCAAATTATGGAAGAAGGGGATGTACAGCGGTGATTTAGCAAAATACAGCGGGTTAGATTAATTTTTGGATGGAGATGTATGGTTAATAAAATGCTTGCAGCGGTAAAATGAATACCAAATTATCTGCTTACAAGAAGCTATAATATATCAGGGTGAGCTGTTTATGACTCCAGGAGGGAAATGAATACATGCTTGAGCTTTGATTCTGAACGTGAATCAATGGTGACGATGTTGATCTGAGGGAAGGCTTGCACGCTGGGTAGAATTAATCTCATGGCACGATAGAGGGCGATTGCTGTGGAAGGATGTAGTCTCTATTTTACTTATTTATTTGAATTAAATAATAAATTAAGTAAATATAATTTACATTATTTAATTTGCAGTAGTGCTAGGCAATGAATAGAATGTAGAAGTAAAATATAGCCCATTCCCAGAAGTCTTGGATGGGACACACCACAGGTGGTGAACCCTTTTCGGCATGTGAGCAAGCGTGGTGTAGTGGTTAGAGTGTCAGACTAGGACCTATGAGACCAAGGTTCAAATCCCCACTCAGTCATGGAGCTTGCTGGGTGACCTTGGGTCACTCACTGCCTCTCTTGCCTCTCTCTTACCTTGCAGGGTTGTTGTGAAGATAAAATAGGGAAGAGGAGAACTACATAGGCCACCTTGAGCTCTGGGGGTGGGCGAGATACAAATAAAAGGAATGAATGAATGAATTCCCTTCTGGGCAACCTTCGGAAGGTCAAATATAAGTGGTGGGTGGAGCCAGAGATAAAGTCACGTGGAGCAATGAATGTGAATGCTACATAGAACCATAGAATTGTAGAGTTGGAAGGGTCCTGGGGGTCATCTAGTCCAACCCCTTGCAATGCAGGGATCTCAGCTAAAGCATCAATGACAAATGGCCATCCCACTTCTGCTTAAATACTAGTACAGTAGGCATAGGCGCCGACTCCATGGGGCCTGAGGGGGCCCGAGCCCCCTCAAAAATTTTATTGGGGGGGCTCTCCCCCCCCAATAATTTAAGAAAATTATTGGGCACGCGCAGCGGAAACGTCCTCCGCCGGTGACGTCACCCGGGCCTTGCGGAAAAGGTGCTGCGGGAGTTGCCGCCGCCATGGCGGGGCCGCTGCAGAAGGGTGAGTGGCGAGGGCGGGACGGGGCCGCGCGCTCCTTTCCTCGGCTGCCCTCGTCGCGCGCCTTGGCTCCCGCGGCCGGCGAGGGGAGCCCGGGCCGCGCGCGGCTGCTGCTGCTGCCGCCGCCTCTCCTGGGGGCGCCGCCTCCCCGGGCGGGAATGCTGCGGGTGCGCGAGGGAGGAGGGCGGCCCCCGGGGGCTGGGAGAGCCGGGCTGCCGTGGCCGAGAGGGCTGCTCTGCCGGGTGCCGCTGACATTGGAACTTAGAAAACTTCCCGGGGCAGGACCCCGGTATGGGCCCCCCCAATATTTTTTATAAGTCGGCGCCCCTGACTTATATCTGCACACATTCTCTAGCTTCCATCAAGACAAAAAAGAGCCAGAAAAAAACACACCACAGGTGTGAAGCAGGACCAGTGAGGCCTGTGACCTAAGGAGAGCATGCATGACCAAAGGCATTTTTTTAAAGGAAAACAAAAAACCCTAAAGGGTAAGGGGGAATCCCTCAAAAACAGCTTCATGAAGACTGAGCATGTGGACATAGCTATAGAGTGCTTCTGGCAGTGGGTGATCGGGAGGATGGAAAATGGGTAACAGGAATGGAATGGAGAGGCTGGAATCCTGAACAGCAGAATGTTGCACTGCAACATTTTGTTTTGGCTCCAACCCATGGCAGTGTTGCAAGCAAGTTCTTTCTAGTTTTTTGGAGTTGCAGCTTCTTTCATTCTCACAACAGAACAAACGAGGCAAGTTACTTGTTTAGTATTAATTTATCTGACAAGAAGATAGTTGCCTCTGGTGAATCCAAGATTCTCTCCACTGGGCAACATTAGATATCCTTACGTTTATAGTTTGATTAGAGCTTTGGCTTTCTCTTCCTAAACTTAGTTATTTCTTTTGTTAAATTTCTCTCCTGCCACTTTTAGTACGCAGTGCTCCCAGGATGATGTATAATAAAATTCATGCACATCACAATCCATCGCTAAAATAACAAAATGAACAAGAGATGAAACATTATAATGAGAATCAGGAAAGAAAATAAACATCTTTTACATAGTGGGGGAAGAAAACAAAAGTATTTCCTTGGCATCGAAACAATAACAACATAAGCCCAGGTGAATCTCCTCAAGGAGAGGTTTCCAAATCATGGTGCCATAAACTAAGAATCTCTCACCAGTCACTTACATCATCAGGTGGTCTCACCCAGGGAGCGTTTCAGATCAGAGTGATAATTCAGTATACAGCAAACACAGCCTCAACAGGTACCTGAGCCCCAGGCTCTATAGGCTTACTCTCAAAAATGTTTTATAATAATTCTTACAGCAGTATTTCTCAAGCCTGGGTATCTAGCTGTTTTTGGACTACTATTCCCATGATTCCTGACCACTAGTCTTGCTAGCTAGGGATGATGGTAGTCCAACAACTTTTGGGGACCCAAGGTTGAGAAAGGCTGTCTCGTAGTTGTCAGCCAGTCTCGTATTGTCAGCCAGTGGCTGACAATAGGTTGCCAGGGAGTCCAGCAGCCTCTGGAGGGTCACAGGTTTCACTTCTCTGAACTGCTATTTGCTCTGCAGGCCTTTTGTGGCAGAACGTCTTGCTCAATACAGTAGATGATTGGGCTTCTTACTTGTCACGTTTTAAACCCAACTGAAGCAAGCAGAAAAAGCCAGATGAGGCATTCTTGGACAGTGCCATTTCTATCTACAAGGTTAGGGTTGATTGCAGAAAATACACTCCAATGCCAAAAAGCTCACCTGAGAAGGTTTGAGCCCAGCTTTCTCTCAGGCACACACACACACACACACACACACACACTCCCCTTGATGCAAGAAATCTTTCATATGTGCCACCTCCTCCCAGCGATAAGGTATCACATGCTTTCCCTGTACACTTGAATCGGCTCTTAACTCACCTTAAATGCTGTGGAAAAGGCTCAAAACAGTCTTGTGTTGTTGCTGCTGTTTTCAATTGCAGAAACTTTTCAGTTTATCTCCAAGCGGCATTACGGCTTCCCCTTCAGTCTCACTTTTTACCTCAATGGAATGCAAGTGGACCGCTTAAGTACCTGCTGTGAATATAAACATCGGAAGGGGACTCGGCTGGGAGGCAAACATGGATACTTTGGTCTTGTCAACGTGGAACGATCAGCTCCTTGCTACAGGTATGGACAATGGGTTGGTTGTCTGTTGGGACCTGGAGACTGTAGCAGATAAAATGGGCATGAAGGAAACTTGGCTCTTAATTTGCTGCCAGGCTCTCCTTTTAGGGCCCTGCACCTGTTCAGGTATAGGTTCAGGAACTGGCTTCCATCTTGGATCCTGCTGATTCCAAGCTTCAAAAGAGAAGCCTCATGTAGCCAAAAACCCCACCATTAGCACCATTTTAATACTTGCAGTTAAATTGTGGCAGAAGCTTTCATGATCCTGAGCGCACATCATCCAATGTACGTGGTGGCATGGTGCATCTGACAAAGTTGGCGCTGACCCAAGGAAGCTTCTGCCACAATATGCTGGTTAGTATTTATTTTATGGGTTATGCCACTCTCGGTTGGTTTTGCTGAAACAGGCAGCCCTGGATAGTCAACTATAGCCATAAAAAAGAGACCAGCTATCCTATTGTTTCTTGAACTCGAGTATGTGGCAGCGTGCAGCATCAAATGCATAACAGAGACTGAGGAGGCATAGGAGGTGCATATGCACGTATGAGTTGAAGGAGAGTAGAGAATAAACCTTTTAAACAAGGATGCACTTTCAAATTCTGGGAATTCAAAAAACAAAACAAAACGAAAAACCTTAAGAACAAGACACCAATAAACCATTGACTCGAGTATGAAGGCACTGCATGGCTTCATTTGATTGCTTGATTTGTTTGAAACTGTTTCACTGGCTGACACCACTTTTGGCATGGCTTTCCTCTCATTTTGTGGCTTTGCTTGGTAGGGGTTGATTTGAGGGGCGCTTTCAAGGTAACAGTCCTGCTTTGTCGCAGGAGACTGAACAAGATAGTCTTCTAATCCTGTTCAACTCTGCGTCCCAGTAATGTAGTCACTAAGTGCTTGCAGGTATTGCTGTATCTTTTCCTAAATATTCAAGGTCTGTTTAGGAAATAAGAATGCTAAGACGGTTAAGATAAAAATAATGCTCAAAAATTACATTATAGATCACAGCCATCTTTTAAAAGATGGAGTCTCCAATGTACTTCCTGGTTTATTCTGATGTTGCAATTAAATTAATATGGGCACACCAGGACCCTCATTTTTGTCTTTCGCTGAAATCAGTGGCAACGCAGCAATTTCTCCTTGGAAGCATTCCTTTCTACAACATTTCTTTTGATTTGCAAAGTAGTACCAGGCAAGAGAATGCATGCAAATTTTCTAGTCTCATCTTTCCCTGTTATAGGATATTTTATAAATAACAACGAAAAGCAGAAGAAAAAGAAAGAAATGGGAACCCCCATAGAGCCAAATTACTTTTCAGATAAGCATATTCCACTATCCAGAAACACTTTCCCCCTCCTCAGAGTAAGATTTGCATAATGTATGTAAATGTTATGCTATCACTGGTGTGATAAGGCTGTTCGGAGGAGTGGAAAGCATGCAAATTAGAGGTGGTTGTATTTTTCAGTAAATGTCCAAACTAGCTACATGCGTGTGTTTCTGTGCCAATTTGCTCCAAAAAACTTGGGAAAATAGCAAAATGCTTCAAACAATACCTTTTGTAAGGGAAGAATGTTTACTTCTGACATATTAACATGTAAGTCTTAAGTATGCAATCCTAGTATAGACACATACCTGGGAATAAGCCCCATTGAATTCAGTGGGGCTTTCTTCTAGTAGATATGCATAGGATTGCACTTCCAACCATTCTAATTATTATGGCTATGAACCTCATTTGCTATTTTGTTGCCCATGCACCCAGTTTGAAAATACCGTTTTAGAGCTTTTAGCAGTCTGCTTAGGTTTCTATCGTCTACAATATCTTCTACAACCTTGATGACTTCACTGTTTACCGCAGATTCCAGATCATTTATGAATTGTGCTAAATTGCATTGTGCTAAATGTCCATTTCCTCCTCCCTCCCCAATGATGTGTTCCTAAGTCATAAGCCATAATAGGGTTTGTCTTCTTGTCTTGTGATTGCTAAGTCCCCGCAGGGGCTCCTGATAGAGCAAAAGAAAAAAAAATATATGGAAAGGATAGTGCAGGAGAACAAATCACACCCAAACAATAATAGTTTGTAGGAATACTGACTCTCTACAAGTCTTTGAAAACATAATTTCGAACCTACCGTATATACTCGAGTATAAGCCGAGGCACCTAATTTTACCACAAAAAACTGGGAAAACTTATTGACTCGAGTATAAGCCGGTTCAGCTACACCAGAGGCTGGTGGCGGCAGCGGCAGAGGAAGAACAAGCAGCCCGAAAGGGCTACTCGTTCTTCCGCCGCCGCCGCCGCCGCCACCACCGACAGCAGCAAAGGTGGAGGAGGAGGAAGGAGCAGCCCGAAAGGACCCTCACTTGAGTATAAGCCGAGGGGGGCTTTTTCAGCATAAAGAATGTGCTGAAAAAGTCGGCTTATACTCGAGTATATACGGTAAGTGGTGCACCGTGGAACAAACCAGACAAATAATTCTCCTTTTTATAGAAATCTTTACAAAGTATGATTCGCTGTGGGATGAAAAACATGCGTTTACATCCTTTCTCATCCTCTGCCAACAGAATTGTGGCTACTCCTCTTAAAAGAGGCTCTTCTTCTTTTCCCAGATCAATATGCCTGCCTCGTATTTCTCCAATACAATTTGCAATGGTCATTGCCGGAAAAAATGTGCTTCTAGGCAACCTGTTAACCATGCTATTTCCCCCCCATCCATAACAAGCCAAGTTTGATGGCATTGCCATTTTGCAACCATTCCTTATGAATCCACAGATAGTCCTACTCAGAGTAGACCCACTGAAATTAATGGGCCTAAGTCGGGCATGTCTATTAATTTCAGTAGATGTGTCTCCTTTGAGCTTCATTAATATTGGATATAACCCACTTCTTCTCATTTTTTAATATAAGCACAGGAACCTAAGATGCAGCCTTGTTTCTTCAAGGCTCTTAAGCCACAGGAGAGCCCCATGGTTTGTGTCCTTTCCATTATCCATGGTCTGCTTTCATAATCTCCCACTCTGCCTTTGCCAGGTGTATTATCGCAATGGGTCTGGACAAAAAGCCTTCAGCTCCCAAGAAAAAGATCGCTGTTGCTGATGAAGAAAAGAAAGAAGATTCTGCGAAGGAAGAATATAGCAATAAGCTACCAGGGAGTAGCAGCAGTGGAGAGGAAAGCAAATATTTAAGGTTTACTCCAGCTCCCAAACAACAGAAAGAATTTGTGGGAGATGCTCAAGAAATGCAAGTGGAGGCAAGAAAAAGAGCGATAGAAAGAGCCCTTGGTGATTATGAAAAGAGCCCAAGAATTGCAGCAATTGATGGTACAGTATGAATGGGGAGAAATTGTTGCACAGAATATGCCCTGCGGGCAGAAAGTTCTAGCGCCAGTCTCTGGCATCTTCAGTTAAGGAATCTCAGGTGGTAGATGACAGAGGAGACTGCTCTCTGCCTGAGACCCTGGAGAGCACCTGCCAATTATAATTAAGCAAACATGGGCTAGATCATTGGTTTTCAACTGGTGTGTCAGGACTCAATACTGGGTCACTGATTTATGGTAAGGTAAAAGGTAATAATAATAATAATTAGAAATTTTTATTTATATCCCATCCTCCCCAGCCGAAGCCGGCCTCAGGGCGGCTAACAACAATAAAATAATACAACATTCTAAAATGTAAAGGACCCTCTGGACGGTTAATTCCAGTCGAATCTACTCATGCTGGTATGCTTTCGAACTGCTAGGTTGGCAGGAGCTGGGACAAGGCGATGGGAACTCACCCCATCACACAAATTTGAACTGCCGACCTTACAATTGGCAAGCCCTAAAGGCTCACTGGTTTAGACCACAGCACCACCTGAACCCCATGGTCTATTGTGGGTCACAACAGCAGTGCTACCACAATACAAATATATGGGGGGGGGAGGAATTAAGAAGTGCCCTCCAGTTAATAATTGTGTTGAAGGTGTGCCCTGGGTCTGGAAAGGTTGAGGACTACAGGGCTAGAAGGACCAATGGTCTAACCCCATATAAAATAGCTCCTTAAGTTCCTATGAAAATTGCCCCCTAGTTATCCTGTGTTCATAAACATAATTGCACAAACACTCATAATCACACCCACAGAGACGTCGACACATGATAGGATGCATAACCAGACACAGGAGTTACTATTATCGATACAGTGCCATTAGTGACCATTTAACCCCTTTTTGTTTAGTTATAACCATTTTGCAGAGCTGTTTGTTTATTTAAGATAGTTCTAAGTCAGGCTTCCTCAGCCTCGGCCCTCCAGATGTTTTTGGCCTACAACTCCCATGATCCCTAGCTAGCAGGAGCAGTGGTCAGGGATGATGGGAATTGCAGTTTCAAAACATCTGGAGGGCTGAGGTTGAGGAAGCCTGTTCTAACTTTTTCAAACATAGTGGCTTACAATGCTGCTTAAAAATAATTAAGAATATCACCAATGTATCCTTCATTCTTTATATAGCACAAAAATCAACAAAGCCAAAGTAAGTAAATAAACTCCAAATACACTTTGAAACGATGCCTAAAAAACTGCTAAAGAGGCATAATGACATTTCCTGGTACAGTGGTATCTCGGTTTTCAAATGTCTCAGAAGTCAAACGTTTCAGTTTTCGAACGCCAAAAACCTAGAACTAAATGCTTCCGTTTTTGAACGCGCCTTGGAAGCTGAATGGCTTCCACTGAATGTTTCTCAATTTAGTCAATTAAATTGGCAGACCGCCCTTTGCACCTTGGCTTTCATATGTTTCAGAAATTGAACGGTCTTCCGGAATGGATTACGTTCGAAAACCGAGGTACCACTGTACACATGACATGGCAAAGCTTGTAATATGTAAAGCGTGGGTGAGAAATGTTGGTTCTCCAGAAGCTGTTGAACTGCAACTCCCATGAGCCCCAGCTAGCATGGCCAGTGGTTGAGGATGATGGGAGCTATAGTGTGACAACATTTGGATGGCCACAGGTTTTCTCCCCTTGCCATGAAGCAGATGTAACTAGGTACATTGTGTTTTGACCTCTTTGTGAGCAAAAATGGCGGACGGTTTCTGCTCCAAGGAGAATGCAGCAAGTAGTAAGGGATGACTTCAGTTCTGAACACATACACACACATTTATCATCTCTAAATGAAAAATTTGGAATTAATTCATTATTTTCAGATTTAGAGTTCAGTTAACGGATTCACCTCAAATGCATGCATTTAGTCCTATTAGCAGGAGTCGGGAAGAGTCCTCTGCTTCTGCTAATAGGACTAAAATCATGCATTTGAGCAGAGCTGGGCTGTCCTGGCAGGTCCTAGCAAACTGTTAGCAAAGTTGCCCCTCTGTACAGGAATTGAGGCCCCACCACCGACTTTTGTTTGTTTCCACATGTGAATCCTTTGCATGCTCTATTTTCCCGCCATAAATATATTCTTACTTCCAACTCTTGAAACTTCCTTTGCGAGTTTATTGCAAGTTTCTCATTAGTTACCAGCTGTGCAGTTTTGTTTCATCTCCCCTCTTCCCCCTTCAGGAGGTGGATACCTTTCAGACAATTACCTGTGGAGGAGACTCTGGCTGTCCCAGATGCAGCTGGTACCCTCAATCGATGCAATTAAATTTACTTACTCCTTAAGCCCCACTCTACAGGTTATTGTTTATTTGCCTAATTGGTTCCGCATGAGATGCTCCCCCCTATATTTCTTGTTCTTCCTGGCATTCTGTCATTTGAACATGGAGGAAAGTTGATAGGGAAAGGAAAGAGGTGAAAAAATGTGGTCCCCAGGGAATATATCTGGTTAACATGACAGCTTCTTTTACGTGATAGCAGTTTGTTGCTTCTCTGCAAGGTGGTAGTGAAACAAGGGATGCTGGCAAAATACTTTATTTGTGAAAGGTCCACATGCATCTCAGTGTATCAGCGTACAATTAATCCATTCACTGATGATGATATCCAATGCTGAGGTGGACCTCTTCCTTGGCATAGGGTAGTACCCTCAGCTATGGGTAGGAACTAGAGCACTACAGGTAAATTGCATAACCTGTGCATTATTTGTCAAACTAGAACAATGGTTTGCATTTATTACAGCATGAATGCCAGACTGGGTTGCGGTATCTTAGGTTGGGTGCAGGGAAAAGGACTGGCTCTGAAGCTGCTCTTCTACTCATAGGAAGAATCTTTCCACTCACAAAAGGACACCTTTGGATCCAACACCAAAAAGGGGGTGGGGAATCAATTACAGCTATAAAAACAAATCAAAGATACAAAAGACACAAAATGTTGTCTTAGGTGTGCCGCAGCAACAGTAACTGTATCAAGCAGTTACACAATATTAATTGATGGAGATTTTCTCCAAAATGCATTGAGAACCAGAGTTACTTTTTCAGCTGCCATTTTCGCCTTTGGATTCAATCCTTTCCTTCCGTGATGCCATGTAGTCATACTTAACAGTATGCAGCATTTTCCTTGTAAAAAAAAAATGCCCCCAATTACGTTAAGAATTCTTCTTGCCAGCCCAGACTTCCAACTCAGCTGACCTCTGATTGCTACTTCATTTGTTTAACATCATCACTCCTTGCAATTATCCTAGCACGATCCCTACACCAGTGAAGAGATGGGTGGGTGTTACATGGTTTGGTCAGATCAGGGATTGAGTCTTTTGCGATAAGCAAGTGAGGGTTCTACTGCATCCATGATGTCTCTGTTTACATCTGAGCACCTATCAGATATTTTGGGATGGGATTATATGTATTCTTCACAAACACACATTTCCCAAAAACATATTTTAGGAGTCTTTGCCAGTGTAATTATTTGCTTCAATGTGAGTATGTCTGAATGAGACCCACAAAGAGAAATAATAGAATGTGTTTGATTTTGTGGGGTTGATTTCAGGCCATTTGACACACTGCAAGGTAGCAAACAAGTTTTCCAGAAAATATATAGTTAGGCAGGTTTACTGTGGGCAGCCCTGGCTTTCTTAAAGGCATATATTTATGAAGTATGTGTCTCCAAGTATATGTGTTTGTGTGTTTCATATTTTTTGCTTGTATACTTAAAAACCACAACGTGAGAGGTGGTGCATAGTGAACAGAAAATAAGATTTCTGTTGGTTCCCACCCACCTTGCAAAGTCTGTGAGGATTTGGAATGTATAACAACTACAAGTCCTAATCATCCTCTCCTCCACTGAAATAATTCCAGTGTACTTAGTGTGGAGATTATGCCACAATTTGCCCTGCCTCTCTTGTGTATGGAGTAGCAAGAAAAAGTTTTTAACATTACTGTATCATTGTACAGTTTAAATCCATGGCTCAGCATGTTAACTTTATTGTTTGTGTGTGTGTGTGTGTGTGTGTGTGTGTGTATATATATAGGCAGAAAAGGGTCAAATGCAAAGGAGAACAAAGACTAATGGGCTTAACCTATTTGGGGTTAATGAGATATTCAAGTAGTTTGTGGTCCATTTTCTATCTCACGGTATGCTTGTCCTTATATTTCAGCATACGATGAAGATTTTGAAGCAGATGAAGAGAAATCAGATGGGAAAGTTAATGAAGAAGGACAGGCTGGTGATCAAATGAAAAGAATGTCAAAGTCACCCTCAGATGATGAAAAAGATAATTTAGACCATGAAAAGGAGAATAAAAAGTCATCACTGAAAGCTTCGCGGGCCTCTGACAGTGAACGAGATGAAAGTGATGGATACACCGGGAGTGACTTGGAGGAGGAGAGAAAACAAGGTTAGTTGTTTTCCTTAGAGTGGCATAGAATGAATGGCCTGATGCATGTTTAACTTGTTACATATGCCCTGTAATGGGTTATCTATTTTGTGGTTCACATTTAAGTACCCATTTGAATTACGATTGCTAAATTGATACAGAATGGGCCAGTCAGCACAAAATAAGCAAAGTCTCCCAAGCTGCTTCTTTAAACCTCTTTTATCTCTTAGGTACTATATGAGAATGGCCAGATAGGCAGCAGCTAGAAGAGGAAATTTGGGTCTCTCTTCTCCAGTGTGTGTGAAGACAGAAATTAAGCTCTCTCTTTCAGACCACTCCCTTTGAACCTCTGGAAAGGTTTCAGTCTCACTCCAGAACCCATTAACTTGGACAGGAATTTATGATGCCCGTTGAGGAGCGCGGTGTTATAATTTCTATTTAAAGTGTGCCCATGCTCACGTACTTTGAATTGTGAATGTCCAATGTTGTGTAGAGTGGAATAGACCTCTGGCCTTCTCAAGCTCCCAAATATAGCTGGTTGGGGGGGAGAGGGGAGGAGCACACAGGGCTGGCCCAAGTAATGTTGGCACTTGAGGTGGCCCCCAGGACGACTCCTCCCCCTCCCTGCCAGGGGTGAAGGAGGCCAGGGACAATGCAGTAGAGTAAGATCAACATTGGGTTCTGTTGCCCTGGGTGGACCTTGGACCCTGCCTCCTGAAGCGGTCTCCTCACCTTGCCTTGTGGCTGGGCTGCCCCTGGGAGTACAGGTTTCCTTTTTTTACCTTGCCTTCCCCTCTCATCCTTAAGACCTCCCACTTACACAGTAAATACATCTCATGTACTGCTAATTTCAGACAATGTTTGATTATTGTGATCCATAGATTATGGGCCTGCTCAGACACTTCTGTGCCCTACTGCGAGACCAGGACCTTATGGAAGGGGCTGTAGTTGAGGGGTGGAACATCTCCTTCAGTGCAAAAACTCCCAGATTCAACTTGATAATGGGAATGTCCCCTGTATGAAACTCTGGAGAGCCACTGTGTAGGCAGTATTGCACTAGATGGACCCATGGTCTGGCTCAGTATAACAGACCCTTCCAAGTGTCCCTATTTTCCAGGGACATCCCTGATTTAGAGAAGCTGTTCCAGTTTCTGATTTGATCCCAGAATGTCCCACTTTTCCCTAGGGCATCCCTATTTTCATTGGAGAAATGTTAGAGTGTATGGAGTCATCCGACCCCCGAGCCGTTTGAAGACAATCCTGTATAGGGAAGTTATTTTCAATGTTTAATGTTTTATCGGGACACGGGTGGCGCTGTGGGTTAAACCACAGAGCCTAGGACTTGCTGATCAGAAGGTCAGTGGTTCGAATCCCCACGACGGGGTGAGCTCCCGTTGCTCGGTCCCTGCTCCTGCCAACCTAGCAGTTCGAAAGCACATCAACGTGCAAGTAGATAAATAGGGAAGGTAAACGGCGTTTCCGTGCATTGCTCTGGTTTCCAGAAGTGGCTTAGTCATGCTGGCCACATGACCCGGAAGCTGTCTGCGGACAAACACCAGCTCCCCTGGCTCATAGAGCGAGATAAGTGCCGCAACCACGGAGTCGGTCACGACTGGACCTAATGGTCAGGGGTACCTTTACCTTTACCTAATGTTTTATAGGGTAAATGTTTACCTTTACCCTATGTTTTTATATATGTTGGAAGCCACCCAGACTGGCTGGGGCAACCCAGTAAGATGTATGGGTATAAATAGGAAGATTATCATTATGGAATGGGACGTCCCTATTTTCATTGGAGAAATGGAGGGTATGGTATAAGGCAGATTTGTATCAGGAGCAGGCCTTGCGTGTAGTGTGCTCCCGCTGCTGATGTGATATCATATCACTCTGTCCTGCAGTGTAGAACCCTGCACAAACTTCCCCCTGCAAGATCCTTTTCAAACATTATAAACATCCAGACACCTGTACACGAGGCTACTTGGGGATCTGACAGCAGTTGTTTGTCAATGTTTGTCAATGCTCCTTCTATGTTCCTGTGTTCCAATTCACATGTTGCAATGAATCACTTGTGTCTTTTTGACATGAGCACATTCATGGTATTCTGTGAGTTCCTGGCTTGCTTTTTCCATTAAAAAAAAAAATAGAGCTAAAAGAGAAAGAGCCAATTAATTTGTAATGTATGAACTGGCGTAATGTATGAAACTGTGTATAGTTTTCATCATATGAAAAGAAACATCTTGCATGGCAGCCTGTAGATGTCACTTTTGCATTGTAAAGTACCAGGCACCAAAAAAAGTACCACTGTATATGATAGTGAGAACCCATAGCAACAATTCTAAGGGCTCTCTCCTGCCATCCCTCTGGGCTCCATAGTAAGCAGGGCTTTCTGCAAGCCAAATTCTGGTCAGCAGTTGCAGCGTGACTCCATTTTGATCCAAGAATGACATGCCCACAACCTCAGGGCGATAAATATGCAGTCCTGTGCCTTCTGAGTTCTGTGCAGGGGACAAACACTCAGAATGATGAACCCTAGATAATTGTTACCACAAGGAAATTAAAATGCTGCGGAATTAGTTTTCAGTAGCATAAATAACATTTTTGGTAACCTCTGTCCTCCCCAGTCAGCATAACTGATGGAGATAATTATTTCCTTTATGTATTCTGAGCCGCACACCTTCATAAATAATCTAATGGGAAGCATGTATCTCATTTCCCATTCATTAATACAAACAGCGAAACGGGTCCAAAAGCAAGGCATGCTTGCAAAACAATGGAAATTGCAAGCGTTTTGGCTTTCCGTCGGCGCAGACCTGATTTCTTCCTGTTTGTTTCTTATCCTGCTGTTTCTTTTTGATACTGCCATAACTTACACAACAGTTGCTTGTCAAACTGGACCAGGCATTCTGTGTTTACTGCTCCCCTGAAATCTCTCCATTGAAATGCCTTCCGTTTTGACAGGCTTTATCGGAGAGCTCTTTTCCCAAGCCAAACGTTAATGTAGCTTTTGTATTTGTATTTTCTGTGTGAAATAGGGAAAGGTAAAGCAGCTGACTGGGAAATGGACACTGCTGCGAGAAAGATCCAGTGTTTCTATAGGAAGCACAAAAGTCGACGGCAAACTCGGGGTGTCAAACCAGGTTTGCAGTTGGTCTGCATGGACGAATCTTTGTTCTGATCAAAGAGACTTTGATTTCTCTAAGCAGCCAGTGACCATGAAGGATAATCAGCTTGCAGCTTTGCTAATCATTTAAGAAATAATTACATCCTCTTTCCTTTTTTAAAAGCTGGTGTTGCTTCTCAGGCTTGTGGTCACATGGTACTGGGTGGCGTGTAGTTGCATTGCCTAAAAATATATATTGTGGCAGCCTTTGTTAATAGCTCGACTGATCTGATAACTGGTATGATTTAAGTCTTGGCAAATCATCTTATTTGGGGAATGAATTTTCCTTTTGCTGAAATTGCTAATAACTCTGAGGGTGCTCTTCCTCTTGGAAATGGCTTGGGTCATGCTTGGGTCCTGGATAGTTTTCTTTTATGCAGGCATCTATCAGGGCATCTGCCCTCTGCTTAGGGCACATCTCATTGTGGATGATGTACATCAGAGATTGGGAATCTCAGAGCCTTTCAGAGTTGTTGCACTACAACTTCCATGAGCCCCAGCTAGCACGGCCAATGGTCAGGTTTGCTGATAATATCTGAAGACTACAGGATCCCCCATCCCTGGTGTAGATTGTGTTTGGTGCTGGGTAGAAAGTCTTGCTTTGTGGCAGGGTCCTATCTAAACAGCTTTCTTCCTGCTCTTTCATTTTCGGATGCATAATTCACTTGCTTCTGATTAAATTCTCTTGTTTGGAATTCATTTATGTATTTTTCTTCCACCCAATGAATATTGCAAAAATGCTTCCTCATTTGCACAAATGGTCCACCCAAGTCATTAGGAGATGAAGAAGAATCTTCCTTTACATAGCCTTACATTAATAATGTAGCTGCACAGTAAATACAGCTATTTGGAAATGTTTCCTTGCATTGGAGTGTGAATCGTTGGAATTCAACTTCAAAATGGAGAGGTTTAACATAAAAAGGAACATTATTGTTTCTTTCTTGTTTAGGACCAGGGTGCTTTGGCCATTAGAAGCAGGCATATGTTAAAAAGTAAGACTTTAATCTTACAACACATATTTGGAAGGAAGTCCCATTGAGTTCTTTTGAGCAGGTAAACTCTGGATTATGTTGCATGCAAATTCTCCTAATGCATGAAGCTGATACTTGTTTTTCCACTTGCTTATGTATGGAGGAGACCCAGGTAGCCAGGACTGATATAGGCTCCTCACAATTTACCTAAGGTTAAATAATGTTGACTGATAATTTTCAGTTTGAAGTATTGGGATTAGAAGAAGAGCCACTCCTGTAAATGTGCTTGCAGCTGGAAAACAGTGCTGCGGCTATAATAATAAAATAAAGAAAGGTATGTATTTATTGATTTTCTTTTTCATTTCACTCTGGAGGTAAATAACCGTAAGTAGAAACTGATTCTAGATTTGCCTTGGTTGTTTGACATCACAATTAGGTGGACCTGCTTCTTACAGTAGAGGCTGAAGTTTCCTTGGAACAACATCAGATATGTGGCACAACATCAGATATGTATGATCAGACCAAAAGTCCGTGTAGTCCAGCCTTCTGTTTCTTATAGCAACCACAGCCACATGCTTCCTGGAAGACACTTGAATCTCCATTGATGTGAAACTCAGTAAAATGCATGGACTACTTTTTAGGGTTCAGGACAAGGAAGGTGGCATATTAAATTTCTAGCTGGATACAGGATTTGTACTCATGGTTATGAGTAAAGCAAATTATGGAAACCGTGTTTATGTTGTCATCTATCCTTGGCTCATGTGAATGGTTTCTTTTAAACCATACCATCTTTGTGTGTTTTTGATGCGTTTCATTTGCATTTGCATTTGCATTCTGAGTGATTTTGCCCTCACCATCAGTGCGTTTGCTGTGGCACACTTTCTAGTTGT